CGCCGTCGTCACGACCACCGCTGCCGCCATCGCGGTCGACTCCGCCGCCGCCGATGTCGCCGCCGTCGTCGTCGTCGTCGCCGTCGCCGTCGTCGTCGTCGTTGTCGTCGTCGCCCTCGTAGATCGTCGTTGTCTTCGCCGCCGCCTGCGACGTTGTCGCCGACTGCATCGTCGTAGTTATCGTCGCCGCCACCACCACGGCCGTCGTCGCCGTCGTCGTCGTCGTCGTCGCCGCCGCCGCCGCCGACGGCGCCAGTCGTTGCCACCGCCCGTATCGTTGTCGTCGTTAGCCCGACAATTCTGCAAGAAATTTGGGCGGGAGGTCGCGCCTCTTGACGCTTCCGGCGGCCTTTTAAAGCTCATCAGAAAAAGACGGTCATAATCAGGCTGACCGTTGCACTGGGAACAAAAAGTGTAATCGCTGGTAGACGCCGCAAAAAGGTGCACAATCATGCATGCTGCTGACCCCAGAGCTGCGCGGAATCTGCGAATTGATGGCAACGTGTTCCCGAGTCTCACAGGCCTTGACACGTTGGAAGATGTGGCCCTGGCCTTCCTTTTTCCTTGGGCGCGAGCGAGCGGGGAGCCAGCGCTGCCCGCAAAGGCTGGGCAGACGAGTCCATAAGGCAGGGTGGTTTGCCCTGACTTTCCTCCGGCGGGGGACAGAGAGGCGCCGCCGCCTTCGGCTACGCTTTGGCACCGTCTGCAGACTAAAGGCCACTTTCCGCAGGGGGGAAACGAACCCTGTAGGAGACGGGTCTTGCCCGCCGTCGGATGCGCCTGGCTACCCGCGACCCTCCGCCGTCCACGTGGCTCTCCCGGGGCTGCGTCTCGCATCCTGGGAGCCCCCCTCTCCTCGCAGACCGGGCCATGCCAGCAGCCATCAGTATTCCTGCACGCCCGGCAGCAATACCAGCCCTCGCCTATCTCCAGCGGTGCGCGGGTGCGGTTGCCACCCGCCGCCCAACGCGGCCGGACCGCTACCGGATCGCGCCCGAGCCTCTTGGACGTCTTATCCGGATACTCGTCGCTCAACAAGGATTGGGCCAGGGTTGCAGGCGCCCGCTGCTCGCGCGGCCCCTCCTCTGCCTGCTCGTCGGGATTGGCGGGCACCTCCTTTGGGGATCCTGGTGGCGCTGCCGACGCGCACTCGAAGCCACCGCTCCGCGAAGCCGTCTCGTCGGGCGACTGCGCCGCCAGAATCGCCTCGACATCCGTCATCTCGGAGTCGGATGGTGCAGCTGCCCCCGAGGCTGCCTCGGGTGTGCTGGGGCGCTCGTCGCTCGGACTAGGCTGCGTCCGCCCGGATGGGGACCACCGAACGGCTCTGGTAGCTCCACGAAAGGCTCCTTCCTTTGGGCCCGCGATGTACGTCCTGACGTTGACGAAACTCCTCCTCCTCCTCCTCCTCCTCCTCCTCCTCCTCTCCTCCTCCTCCTCTCCCCTCTCCTCCTACCCCTCTCCTCCTCTCCTCCTCCTCCTCCTCCTCCTCCTCTCCTCCTCCTCCTCCTCCCTCCTCCTCCTCCTCCTCTCCTCCTCCTCCTCTACTCCTCATCCTCCTCATCTCCTACTGCTCTCCTACCCTACTCTACTCCTACTATCTACTCTCCTACTACTCCTACTACTTCGACTCCTCCTATCACTCCTACTCCTCCCTCTCCCGCCTCCCCTCCCCCCCTTCCCTCCCGTTCCGCTCCCCTCCCTCCTCCCTCCCTCCTCCCTCCCTCCCTCCCTCCCTCCCCCCGCCCGTCTCTCCCCTCCCATCCCTTCCCCTCCCCTTCCCTCCCCTGTCCTCCCCTGTCTTTCCCTCTGGGCTGGCCGCGAGCGCCTGCGGCGGCGCGCCCGGCGGCGGCAGCGGCGCCGGCGCCGGCGGCTGGCCCGCGTCCGCGGGGGCGGGCGTCGAGGCGAGGGCCTTGGGAGGGAGGGAATGAGGGCGAGGAGGAGGGCGACGAGGATGAGGGGGAGGGAGGGAGGAAGGGAGTGAGGGAGGAATGGGGGAGAGAGGAGATGGGAAAAGGGGGGGAGGAGGAGGAGGAGGAGGGGAGGAGGAGGAGGAGGAGGAGGAGGAAAGGGAGGAGGAGGAGGAGGAGGAGAGGAGGAGGAGGAGGGAGCAGGAGGAAGCAGGAATGGAGGAGGAGGAGGGGAGGAGGAGGAGGAGGCGGAGGAGGAGTGGGAGGAGGAGGAGGAGGAGGAGGAAGGAAGAGGAGGAGGAGGAGGAGGAGGAGGAGGGGAGGGGAGGGAGGGGGAGGAGGAGGGTGGAGAGGAGGTGGGAGGAGGAGGAGGAGGAGGAGGAGGAGGAGGAGGAGGAGGTAAGCCACGGGCTGAGGGGGGCTGGGCCGTCGTCGCCCTCGTCGGTCGCCCCCTCGTGCTCGGGCTCGCGCGCCGCGGGCCATCGCTCGGCGCCGCGGCCGCGGCAGGCGCCCCGCCAGGACGCCTCGTGAAGGCGAACCATCCTGGCATCGGCGCCAGCGGCAGCAACGCGCTCAGGCGCGTACGTTGCTCCGAGTCCTCTCTGCCGCGAGGACCCTCGCGGAGCACCACAGCGCCCAGCCCGTCGACAAGATGACGCAGGACTGGAAGCACCAGCGCGACTGGGAGCAGCCGCACTTCGACACGACGGCGTCATCAACACGAGCCTCTCGTGGTCATCCCGTCGGAGCTCAGCCATGGCCGTGGAGGTCGGGATCTCGGACGCGACGACGCAGGACGTACGGGAAGAACGACGACCAGAGCTGGCAGCAGGACCGCGACGGCCACGACCAGTACGACGGCAACGCAAGCACCCGTCACAACAGCCACTGCCAGCAGCACTACGCCAAGGACGAGCATGCTCACCACTTCACCCACCACGGCGAGGACACCCACAAGAAAGGTTCACGGGCTCGCTCCACACCTCGCACAACGACACGGATGCAGAGCAAGAAGCACTACGGCGCGCACAACTTCTTCGACGGCTTCCAGTTCTCCAAGAAGCAGCGCGAGATCCTCGACCAGGTCCTCCCTGCCGACGACGTGCGCATGCAGTCCCACGAGAGCTTCTCCACGCCCCCGCTTGAGGAGGACATGCGCCGCCTTTGGGTGACAACCAAGCGCGGACGCATCGCTCGGTTGGCAGACCAAGCTCAGGGCGCACGCGCCGTCGGCGTCGACGATGCCAAGATCGTCGCAGAGCTGTCTGTCAACAAGGCAATGCTCCTCCTCACGTTGTCTCCCGACGAGCGGGTGCACTACTACCGCCGATGCATCGACACCACGGTCAGGCGAAAGAATGCGCTCAAGGACGACATCAGGAAGATGCAGACCGAGTTCGACAACACGGAGGGCAGCTTGAGGATACTACGAGCTCTACTCCAGGAGTCGAAGTTGAAGAGGGACGACGCCACACCCGACCTCGAGTACGACGACTTCTACAGCGACAACGACGAGAGCGAGAAGGATCACCACAACAGGCGCAGGACTCGGACACAGACACCTCACCCACGACAGCGCGAAGATCATCGACCACAGCAGTACGCAGCACCAGCAGCAGCACCACTTCGACAGCAGGACGACCCACACCAAAAAGGTCACAAAGAGCTGCTCGCGATGATCACGGACCTCTCCAAAAAGGTGGACCAGCAGCGACAACACACGGGACTCCATCAGCACCACCTAGCCCACCTCCACCAACAAGCTGATCTCCGACAATCCGAGCACCGCGAACAGTTGCAGGAGGAGCTTACGCGCATGGAAGCACACACGTCTCGGAAGGCCTTCAACGAGCTTCATCTCGAACTACAGCACCACGAGCAACGACTCCAGCGCCGCTTCCAGGAGGAGATAGACGAGATCAACGCACGCAACCGCCACCTAGAACATCAGCAAGCACAACGGTTCCTACGACAGTCCGAACAACGACGCCAGGAAGATGAAGCTGAACAGGCACATCGCATGAAGACCGAGCTCGAACAGCACCAATCACTTCACGACGCCGCACGTGGTCACCTTGCACGGCGGGAAGCAGTACAACAACACGAACTACGGGAGGCTAAGCCAATTTGGCTCCAGCATCTAATTCGTGAATCCGAGCACCGCCTTCAACAGGAGGAAGCTCAGTGCGCTCACAACCTCCTACTTCAGCACGAGATGAGAGGGCAGCAACAAGAAGACGCACTTCGACTGGCTCAGCAACGACAGCTTCATGAAATCAACTGCAGGGCTCATGCGGAATCATCGGCACTCATGCAAGCCAAAGAGAAGATCCTCGAGGAGTACGGTGAACTGCGTGCGCAACAACACGAAGCAGCCACGATATGCACCGAGCACCAGCACGAGCGAGCCCGACTCCAAGGCGAACGTGCCAACCTACACCTCACCGAGCAGCAGCTCCACGACAGGTACATCAACCACCTGGCGACGACCGAGGAGATGCGAATAAAGGAAAGGGAGGAAATGCAACGTGAGTTTCGACAAGCCGAGCTCCTTCATGACCCTCTTGATCTTGAACTGTTGCAAGAATTGAACACGAGGTTCAGCGAGAGAGACGAGGAGGAGAACAGACAGCAGGCGTTAGCCGACTCAGAGGAGAAGCGCATCCACCGCGAGATCGAAGGCGCCCTCACCGCGATCATCCCAGGCCCCTACGAGCTGCCTCACCCACACGCCGACATCTACCTCGAGCAGCTACGACAGATGAGCTCTCCACCGAACGCAGCCCATTCCACGTCCAACTCAGACGCATGGAGCTTACGAGACCTCGGCTTTGCAACCGCACCACCCACCTCACCACCCGCCCCGAACCCCGACCACACCCACGACAGAACGCCCACACACCCTCCAGCCAGTATCGCCCCACTCAGCGATGCCGACCACGACAAGCCCTCTGAAGCACACCACGGCGATACACAAGCACACCAATCGAGCTCTCCGAGATCTTCGTGCTCTCCCACGCCCATCGCCGACGACGGCTACCTCTCTCAGCACGACGACGGACAGTCTACGCCCATTCCTGACCTTCACCA